AGCACAGGGGGAAAGTGGCTGATCTGTGTCCCTTTTTGATAACTTCATGGTTGCCTAGGAGAAAGCTGGGTTGGAAACCAGGTTTAAAGTTTGCCATTTAGCAGACACCCCACGAGCCCTTACCCGCCCCGCCCAGGGCACGGAAGGTGTTATGTGTGCCTTGAGATACAATAAAAACTTGTCACAGGATGCTCTGCACCAGTGTGGGTTTTGGGTGGGCTGCTGGACAACGTGGGCACTCAGATCCTAGGGATTCAGCGATTGAGAACTTGTTTGGTTGTAAAGGATCAAGATTTAGAACTTGTTTGTTGGTAAGGGGCCGAGACCAATCCTGTCACTTCATAGGTTCTTGGCTCGGCAGAAGGAAAACTTTCCCACCCTGGAGAAACTTGTCTGAACCTCCCTGTGGCAGAGGGACTTAGGTACCTCAAGGTACTCCGTTTTTATTCAATTTGTCCCCCCATCCAAGCATCCAAGAGTCCATCCCACATTTGCTGAACTTGTGTGGTCCAGCGGTTCTTATTTTGGGGCATAGAATCAGACATGGACCCCTGTCCTCCAAGTTTCCAGGAGTGAAAGAGAACACACACACGATGTAAAAAGAGGTACTACGCTAGGAGGGCCGTGAACTCAGAGGGAAATCAAGGAAGGCTTGGTGGAGGAAGCGACATTTGGCCTGGGCTGAAACGGGAGAGAGGGAGACCCTAGAGGGGGGTGTCCCATGTGCCGAGGACAGAGTTTATTAAGGATATACAGTTTGGGGAAAGACTGGGCACTTCTTTTTTTTTTTTAAGATTTTATTTATTTGAGAGAGAGCGAGAGGGAGAGGGAGGAGAGAATGAGCAGGGGAAGGGAAGGAGCAGAGGCAGAGGGAGAAGCACACTCCCCTCTGATCAGGGAGCTCAGTGTGGGACTCGATTCTGAGATTCCGGGATCGTGACCTGAGCCGAAGGCAGACACTTAACTGAGCCACCCAGGTGCCCAGACCAGGCATTTCTTCAAACATGTCCTGTGGCTTTTGCTACCGAAAGACCAATGCCATGCCGAGCGAATCCCTGAGATGAGGCGGACTTTGCCTATCCTGACTGCTGGGCAGTGTCAGGAGTTGACCCCTGGGTGCATCTTGACTTTGGAGCTCCGCATGGGTTGCAGCCCTACAGGAACGGGGCTGCGCATGCTCTCTCCGGCCAGGTGTGCTGCATTTCCTCCGTGGGACCTCCGTTCCGGGCACTGACAGTGAATGATTTTCAAACGTGTCCGCTTAAGATCAATGAGCACTCAGAGTAGTGAGCTCAGGCGCTCTTTGAATAAATGAATGTAGGATTTATCCTATGCATGATGCCACTTCCCTAAAATAATTCCGATTATCCTGTGTCCATGGATTCAACTGAGCAGATATTTATCTGGCGTGTACTGTGATGGGTGCCGTAGGGGAGGCAAAAATACATAGAGCGGCCTGGCCGAGATGGAGTTTCCAAAATGCTCCAGCCACTCTGAGCGCATTGTCTCACTAGAAACCTTTCAACCACCCTGTGAGGCTGGGCATTCTATCCCCATTTTACATACAAGGGAATACATAACTGGTCCGAGATCACAGATTGACGGCAGGATTTGAACCTATGGCAGTAGGAACCCCAAACAAGGACCCCAATGACGGGGCGTAAGTGGACTGGGAAAGGTATAAACACATTGCCTGGCGGTTCAGAGGACGGTGAAATCTCCAGCTGGAAAAGCATCATGGAAAAGGTGGCATTTGAAATGCGCCTCCAGTGCGCGGATGTTCACATGTGAACGGGGAAGCTTCCAGGCTGAAGGCAGCTCTGGACATTTGGCCTGGGCTGAAACGGGAGAGAGGGAGACCCTAGAGGGGGGTGTCCCATGTGCCGAGGACAGAGTTTATTAAGGATATACAGTTCCCACCCTCATTGTTCATTTTCCATGGCGGGAAGGGCCCTCGGCCTCCCTGGCCACCCTTCCAGCAAGCTCCAGAGACACCGAGCTCAGTGAG